TAGAACCCAAGTGAACACCGGGCTCCCGTTTAAGACGCCTGGCAAGCGTGGAGAGCAATCAAGCTCGTTTGCCAAGATCGACTTAAACAGAAGGCACAAATCAAACGGTCCCCAGCCCGCTGCCTGCAGCTTGAGTCAGACTACAGCAAAGTACACAATATGACTGGCCGATTGCCGACTGACTTCAACGAGGACGGACTGATATTTGAGAGCTATAAGCTGCCAATTGGACGACCTAGGCTCAGATGGGATGAAAAGCATAATGACGGATATTGACGCTTGTAGCGACACAAACGCGAAACAGACGAACATGGGTAACATGGACATAGTAATTAAAACATTCTGCCTATAAATTAATGACATGCCTTACAATCCACCCATCTGTCTGACGAGCTTCTGAAGTTTTGATATCTTTCCGCAAACGGTCCAATCACACCACAGCTTAACATCTTTAAGTCACAAGAGAAACTCCCGTCATAACGTTATTTTTAGAGATGGCGCATTCTTGGTCAGAAATAATTTTGGCCACTGTTGATGGTTACCTGTTCATTTGAAGCGCAACGATAAGAGGAAAGCGAGCCATATTTTCTTAATAGCGCTGTTCATGATACTCTGAATCAGTTTTTTTCAAATCCAAACGTAGTCATCCTGCAAATAAGGTGAATAACTACACGTGCTGTAAGCCTTTAGGTAATATTGGTTCATTCAGGTCGAAACTCATCCGAGAGTAAATAATGACCAAAGAAGGGGATCGCAGACAAGGGCTAGGCACAATGGGGCGTATTTCTTTTAACGACGAAGATCTATAATGAACCCTGAAACGGTCGACTAATGAGGCAGTGAAATCCATGGATTAACTGACAGTTATGTGCCTCTAAGAATCATATATCTGTGTATCATATTTCGAATGAGGAAACTAAGGCAATGTACATGGGCATAAGGGCTGAACGCCGCTTTGGCTATTAATCATAGATGAATGCGTAGTGAAACACTTCTAAATTGTTATATGCGAGTGCAAAGCATTCGTGCTCAGAAAATGTCACATTAATGACGCCTACATTTTTATATCACGCCATCGTTCCTCTGAATGAAGGATGATATTTAGTGTATTATTCGTCGAATGAATAGCAAAGTTCGTTGTGGGATCAACGCAGCAACATATGGAAACTAGATCGAGCCACAGGGCTTTTGTACTCACGACGATGCACTGCCGTGATTGACCATAAGTTAATACGTTTTCAGATGCCATGGCAAGCACAGCACAAAGCAAGAAAAATTCTTCATTTATCACCATCCCACTAGCTGATCGAAGTAGTCACGGTTGTCATTCAGGAATGATGACCGATGACCCTTCGGCTAAAACTTCTGCTCGCTGGTAAATAATGAATTTCACTTGTTTTCGATGCTGCTAACCATGGAATCAAAAGATACGTTAGCTCGCGTTAAGGTTAGTAGAATTTGACGCCAAATCCTTCACTTAGTGATTTGATCCAGGGGGAATCTGTACCAAATACTCCCCAAAAAATAGTAATTGGAGCTAGTCAATAATTCTGCTTGCAGGTCTAGAATGCCAAACACGACATTTGAGTGACAATGTTTCTCCATCAGTCATTGAAGAAGCTCAGAACAAATCTCTGTGAACGGTGTTTGTTGCTTAGAGGGAACAAAGCCTTTCCGTAAGCAGATCTACCTCTACTTTGCTCGTCCATGTTGCTTGCTGGTCTTCTAGTCGAGGAGTCCGCGTTTCGGCTGCCACACAAAAGTTCTTAGGCAGAAATAAGTGGTTTATGCTAAGAAATTTTGTTTATCAAGCCCAAAATACCTAGCAAAATCTCCACGTCATCTAAAGTACCTGTGCATTGAACAGATTCGAGCAATTTCTGCCGAAGTCATGCTATTAACCCTCATTATGCGTTAACGCCGCAGTGGTCAGTTCAACCGTCTTTCTCGCCTAATCGCAAAAGCACTCCAGGCTAGGGCGATCCTCCTATCATGGTGCCATCGCTAGAGGTGATGAAACCGAGTTACTTAAATTTGTCAACTTCCTGAAGCCCTTCTCCTCACAGTTCTACTTGTAAATCAGCTGTTTCAGATTGGTTCCTCATATCTATATCAGCGGTGTCGCATACTGAAGTCCTCAGTTGAAAAGATCGTTTCTTATTCTTCTCAACTAGATAATATAATCTTCATAATTCAGACCAGCAATATGTCCAGTCGGATATTTTAATCTGCGTTTTTCTTTTAGAATGCAACTCTCGTCTTTGTGAGGATCAGCACTGCTTCAGAGGAAAATGTCGAGAACAGCGCTGTATAGCAAAGGCGAATGCACATCTCTCTGGCAAACACTTCAGTTAATACGGAACCACTCACATAGCTTTTCCTCGAAAGCAGACTTGGTTCTTTCATATGTCTCCTCTAAGATGAAAACGAGTTCAAGTGTCCTGTGACATCATAAAGTTCTGAACAATGTCAGACGTTGCAACTCAAAACGAATCGAATCATAAACATGAAATACTTTGAAAAAAAAACTCGTATTTAGCTTTGCTTTTAGTTCGTAATTTAGCATATTTTATGGAAAGAGAATATCATGCGTCTTGCATATTCTCAATGCTATCATGGGCCACAGAACAATGTCTCTCCCTGTTTTCTCCTACTCTCAACTAATTGCTCTCAAGTAACTGCAATATCGATACACGTTGGTTAATCATGACTGCAATAGATGTCGGTGCCATTTTTTTCCAGTAGAGTATTTACCTCTCCTCAAAGTTAAGCTACACGTTGATCGATGAAACACCAGCGACTTTCTTTTTATAAACAGATTTGTCTTAGTGGTGTAATATAATTTTTCTCATGGTTATGCTGACTAGTGAAGAAAGCTTTCAAGATAATGACAGGCTGAAACAGCTGCAGTAGCGTCAAAGGAATAAAACACCCATTCGTGCTGACGTGTGATCCCTTACTTATGTTGCTGCTCCCTCTTACAAATGTGGAAGTCACGAATGACTTTTCATTTATTAA